AAGCAACAACCACGAAACACACTACAATTTCACGCTTGATAAAACAAGAGAATGAGCTGCGAGAAGAATGGGCACAATGTGAAGGACGAGGAGGAATTTCCAACAAACGGAAGTGTGAAGACAAGAACCCAGATGTCGATAAGGCCCTTAACGGTTTGCGATTGTTACTGGATGATCTGTGCGAGTAAGCGGCCCAATGTTAAAATGCAAAGCAGAAGAACTCACTAAAAAGCTGGGCCACAATGACTTTAAAGCTACGGATGGTTGGTTGTCTCGATGGAAATCTAGACATGACATAAAATTCAAGAAAGCACATGGCGAGAGAGAAAGTGCTGATAGCACAAATGCTGAAGAATGGAAGTCAACAAAACTGCCCACGCTTCTTGAAAATTTTTCAGAAGATGACATCTACAATGCTGTTGAGAGTGGGCTGTATTATTGTGCTACACCAGATGGCTCATTAAGTTACAAACATGTTGCACTCTCTGGCTCCCAAAAAGAGATGGATCGCATAACTGTCTTGTGCTGCTCAAACATGTCAGGAACGGATAAGAGGAAGCTGTTGGTTATAGGAAAAAGCACCAAGCCTCGCTGCTTTAAAGGACTTAGGATGGAAAATTTATGAACGTCCAACTGGAATTTCTACCTCCCAGGACCACAGCTTTGGTCCAGCCAATAGATGGGCATCATAAAAAATTTGAAGACCCTTTATCGTGCACGGTTGGTTAATCACATTCTTGAAGCAATTGAAGAAAGTTTGCTGACCTCACCATCAAAAACCAGCAAAGGTCAACATCTTACAAGCAGTTACATTTGTGGCCAACAGCTGGCAAAAAGTGAGCAGTAAGACAATTCAGAACTGTTTTTCTCACTGTGGCTTTAAGCACTCGGTTGTGGACATGCTCATTGAAAGTGGAAATGATAATTTACATGGGGAACTTCAACAGGTACAAAATTGCGAAGAAATTTTATCCATCGACAACGAGCTTCAATGCTACGATGAAAATATGGATTATGACACTGCAATCGTTGCTCGAGTTGCAGCAAAACACACGACAGCATCAGAAGACCAAGAAAGTGATTATGATGATGCTGCTAATAAGTTGGTGGAAGTGACAACAAAGGATACGAGGAAATGCATTGAAACTTTGCATCGGTATTTCATGCAGGAGGGAAATGAAGGCAGTCCAATTGCTGCGTTAGATGTTTGTGGCGATTTCGTTCACGTGCAATCCGTCAAGAGAACGCATCAGATCACATTGGATAAGTTCTTCAAATGTTGACTGGAACTTGGTAAGAAATTGTTTTTATTGTGCTTCGCATGTTGAGTATCGTGGAGATTGTTTCTTAGAATTTGTTTCTAAATTAATTTTCTCAATGAAAAAAGGTTTGACTGTATTTCTTCCTTGTACATGTATGTTTGCCATACATGTGTACCACACCATAAAGTACATAATTACATTTTAGTACATGATTTACATGTATATTTACTGTTTGCTACATATAGCATGCCCCGTTTTACAACATAGGACATCTTAAAATCGTACCAGCTGGTTATTAGGACCAAAACGATCGCTTCCCGATGTGGTCCGATTAACCGAAATCGACTGTATTCACACATATGCTCATAATATAAGCATACCGATCATAATAAACATGGATATAAACTGACCATGTGGAATGAGAATGTAAATTATTAAAATCTCGATGGAAATTTAAACATGTGTAAAATTGGGTGGGAGCAAAAGAATACGGAATGTACTGGAACTTTCTATTGCTTTTGCAATTCTTTGAGCAATGGAACGACATGCATCTGTCTGTACTCGCGCGTACCAAAGGTTATGTTAATGCAGAGAAAGGGGCAAAAAGCTATTTCGGGAGTATGATTCCCCATCTAACGTTACATATAAGGAAGAAAAGTTGTTTATTTAGTTTCAGCTTTGGTACAAGGAAAAAATGTGCGTTCGTTAAAAAAAAAGAGCACTAAATAAGCACTAAAAAAAGGAAAAAAAAAAAAAAAAAAAAAAAAGTGCTTTACAGAAAAAGTAAGCACCTATAACAGCTTTTAATTTTTATTTTCAAACATAAGGACTAGTAAGGACCGCTATGAAACCTGGATAACGCTAGAGTTTAAATTAATAAAACTATCCGGTTGTAATGGAAGTTTTCCACCAAAACGTCCTTAATAAAGTTAGGGAAAAAAAAAAAAATGATGAAAGCTGTACCTTTAAGTCTGGGTAATAATCACCGTCCAAATCTATGATTTTCTGCCAGCACTCGCGGTCACCAAGTTTCTGGGCTGAAGGTTTAGAAAAACTACTGCAGGTAGTTTTACAAAATCTTCAGCCCAGAAACTTGGTGGCCGCAATTCCAAAAACAGATCAACCTCATTTTGGACATCATGTGCAGAATGGAAGATACCACCAGCAAGATGTAGCTACAGGTGTGAAAAAAGGTAGAAGTCTGAAGAAGGGATATCATGGCTATATGGTGGGTGTAGCAAAAGATCTCATTTCAGTCCATACAGAGTCCAGCCAGTGAATCCAGACATGTGTGGTCTTGCTGGAACATTACCTTTTTGCAGCAGAACTAAGTTTGACATTTTTGCTTGAAAGCATTGTCAATATGGATCAGCATCTCGCTGGGGACCTTACTTGTTGAAAGGTTTACATATTTTTCCAGATACTCTTTTTGGATAACAATACCACAGCAATCCCACAAGATACAAAGCTTTGCGATGCACCTCATGGGCTCACCGAAGCACAGACCAAACCCCTTTTCGGTTTCTGTCGTTGAAGTAAATCTGCTTTTCATCACAAGTGATGGTGCAGAATTTTGTCCTTGTGTTGATATTCGAGTAGATTAGTGCAGGCCCGAACACATCTGTCCTTATCTGCTTGAGTCAGCTCATGTGGCACCAAGTGATTGAATTTGTATGTCAAGTTTATTCAGCACATGGTGCAACTAATGGACATGGCACTAATGTCTAACTCCTTAGCAAACTCTCGAGTAGTAGCATACTTATTGTCTTCTACAAGTTCTCACAGGCGGGCCTCGTCAACATCATTATGCTGGTCAGAGCACTCTGCTTCTTAAATGTCACAGTCCTTGTTTTTGAACTTTCAGTATGAACTTTCACAGTGTCATACAACATTAGTACCTACAGCTGTACAGATGATTTGGTGACATTCTGTAGCTGACTTTTTGCAACAGAACCAGAAGTAAATGATGGTTCTTAATTTGGTAGCATAATAGTTCCACTTCAGACACTTTGTTCTTGATGATAACGATATTTTTTTACAAATTTCATAGTACAGTGTTCTAAAGCAAGTCTCTTTCTTTCAAATGGCAAAAATCGTTTTACAAAACATGATTAAACATGCCAACATGAACTTTTGTGCAGACGATATTTGCAGTGGCAGGAAACTTTCGCTAAAACCCAATATTTCTTCCCTGGTGTTTGGGAGGTTATGAATTAATGGAAATGAACTTGTTGCTATGTCTAGAGAAAGTTATGAGATTGATTGTTTAGTTTATATGATTTGAAATAATGATGTTTTAAAGAGAGATAGCATTCTTATTATACCCAAGCACCAGCGAAGACTTGTTCCTCATTACGTTCAGGACATTGATTTAATAAATTTGAATAGGAATCTAGATTGAGATAATTGACTTTAAGATTTTGTTTATTGATTTAACTTTGGTTTAGAACAATCATTCACTTCCTTAACACAGTATAAGATTTTCACTTTTTAAGTTTGATTCCTTATTTCTTAATTTTGTCTGGCACCAGTGAGAGGAAAAGTTAAATAAGTTTTTAAAAAATAAATTATTATTACTCAAAATTTATTTATATAACAAAAGACCTACATAGCAGTCCAAGAGGAGGCCAATTTGGAATAATGAAGGCTTTGCATAGAATTTGAGCGTGCTTCTACTGTAGTAATGCAGGGGATCATGTATAAATGTGCCACCAATCTTGCAATGCCTTTGTTGTTAGAATGGACCAAAGAAATGCAGCCGAGAGAAGCTACAATGCAGAAGCGTCTTCACGAAATGCTGATGGAGACAAATACATCCTTGGTGCAGTTGATTATTTCACCAAATGGCCTGAAGTGTATCATATTTCTGATCAAAGGGCTGTGATAGTAGCAGAGGTGATACAGCATTGGATTTTCAGGTTTGAAGTGCCTCTTCAGTTACATTCCGATCAAGGAAGGAATTTTATCTCAGCTGTAACTGAAGAACTCTGCAAACTATTCGGCATAGACAAAACCCGAATGACACCTTTACATGTGCAATCAGACGACATGGTAGAAAGGTTTAGTCGAACCGTACTTAATATTCGCTCATTGGTGGTTTCCAAAAACCAACCGGACTGAGACCGGAAGTTATCTCTGTTCTTATTGGCCTATCACAGTGCTGTCCACAAGATTACCAGTTATTCCCCATCCCAGATACTCTCCGGGCATGACCTTTGTATGCCTTGTGATCACTTGTTTGGTCACCCTCCAGATATGTCTTCATGTCTGAGGAGTACATTCAAGATCTCCAAGCACGGTTTGAAGTGCCTGGAAGCACAATTTTGCACAAGAGTGAGCTAATTTGGCAACAGAGAAGATGAAGATCCAATACAACATGAAAAAATGCTGATATATATATAAACAAAAGTTGGCCACCCCTGGTTTAAAGAAATGTAATATTTTCCCAATCTTCAATATTCTAATGATATATAGCACTTCATCTACAAACTTAAATCTATTTACAGCTTTAGCGCAAAATTCTTATATGAAAAACATAATTGTAAAACTGATCTTAAATTTTTTTTCATATTTTAGAACCTAAAGCTTAGTATAATTTAAAACAAGATTAAAAGTACCTCATTCAACCAAAACTTAATTAAAGTAAGATAAATCAAACCTAAACTTAGCTAATAATAATTTTATTAAACACAAAAAATTAACAAAAAGAATATTAGCATTATATTATTTAGCACTTACTTTTGTACAATCCTTTGTAAGACGAAGCCATTTTGAATTTTCTTGCTTTCTTAAAACCATATTTATACCTTGAGGCAAAATGCTTGTTACTGCATCTTGGGAATAAATAGAAGAATAAAATATTTCTTTAGTATAATAATGAGCGCCATTCAGTGTAGTTCTGGAAGAAGAAAAAAATTAATTTAATAAGTAAGCAAAGTTAGAATATGAAAAGAACGAAAAATCTTTCAACTGATAAATAAATTACCCCATCTATTTAATAAAACCTAGGTAAGAATGGAGGTAAATTCAACATTTATAAAAAGTATTGAAAGCTTACTCAAATGTAAAACCATCATCTTGTATATTTAATTCATATACTTTAATGTCTCTTAAATTGATTACGATATTAAGTTGCTCAGGAGAATCCCACCATGTAATTAGTGGCTTATAACTGAAAAGAAAAAAGGCAGGAAATGGGTTAAGTGACATTAAATATTCAAAATTACTGTAAAATCTGTCAACATTTACTTTTCCTAATTATTTTACTTATAATATCACAAAATTAATTTCAGTATATATATTAAAAGGATTATATTTAGAAATCTATGCATTTGGTATGTTTGAATAATATAATTTATGTTAACAAAGTAAAATGGCTGACAAACTATCTTTTAAAAAATTCATCAATTTGAAAGTACACAAAAATGAAACAATGAAACTAATTACTATAACATTTTGGACTTCCTATACCATATAATTTCGAATATAAACCAAGAGTGCATTTTTTTTTCTTACAAGCCCTGTAATGTTTAAAAATGCCATCATGACAGTGAAAATGTTGCCAAGCAGATAAAATAGGTAGAATATTTTCAAATCAAATCACTGCAAAGTAAAATAACAGATGCCAACAAATGGCAGACTTAATTCTGGTAATCCTATACAAAGCTAGCACATTTTCACCATTTATTTGTTGTCTTGTATATGATCTGTGGAATTTGTACTCGTCTTACTTTTTATGAAATTTTATTTTGTCTGGAAGGTGAGTAGGAAGAGAAATTCTTATACGGCAAATTTCAAACAATAGGTGAGATCATGTTTGCTGAAATTCTAATAAGAGTATGGCAACTCAGCATTTCTCTGTAAATAAAAAACAAGTTCAAGAATGGAGGGGAAAAATCAGCAATATAAACAGTTTTGAAAACAATACATTTTATTTAAAATAATTTTTTCATAAACTTGAAAAATATAAACTAAAAAAATAAGCACTATATTTGGCAATATATTGCTTGCGCCCAGTTAACAGAAAAGCACTAATTATTGAGAGATTGGCAGATCATATATACAGATGGAGGACAAAATAATGCAAACACCCATGAAAAAATATGACGTATTTCTCACACCTGCAACAGAAGTCTGCCACCTAGTTGAGCGTGAAGAGGAAGGTATCGGTCTCTCAACAGCAGTCACCTGTGTTGCATGCTTTGATCGAACTGCCTGTGAGAAGTTGAAATGTCAGACCTGTCAGAGTTCCAAAGAGGAATGATAGTTGGAGCATGTTTAAGTGGAGCATCGGTTACGGAAACAGCAAACCTTGTGGGGTGTGCAAGGAGTACAGTATCAGCCGTTATGACAGCGTACATGAAAGAGGTTAAGACGGCGTCTTCAAAGTACAACAATGGCCGAAATTCAAAGCTGGCTGATAGGGATAGATGGGTCTTTGAAGTTCACAGTACCCCGAAAGCACAAGCAATCGTTATCCGAGATAGCATCTGAAATGAACAGTCCTCTCCAGGACCCCGTTTCAACAAAAACTGTCAAAAGGGAACTTTATGCTACAAAGATTTATGGCAGAGTGGCAATTTGTAAAACCTTGGCGACAGCAACTAATGCTAATCGTGCAGAGATCACAAAGGCTTGTCCCCACAGCAGTGGCAACAAATAATATGGTCAGATGAATCGTCATTCATCCTATCATACCATCAGACGACCGGACGCATTTATGTCTGGAGAATGCTCAAAGAATGTCTGTGAAGCTTGGGGGTGACGCCATTATGGTATGGGGTGCGATATCTTGGCGCGGTCTTGGGCCACTTGTTATTCTGCATGGGAGGATCACATCCAATCACTATCTAAACATTCTAGGGGGATCATGTCTATCCTTTTGTCCAGACTGTATTCCCTGAGAAGCGACCGCTTTTTCAAGATGACAACGCCCTTATCCACACTGCTAGTTGTATTCAAGAATGGTTCGAAGAGCATGACGATGAAATTCAACATCTCGCTTGGCCCACCCTCAGTCTCTAGACTTAAATATTTTTGAACATTTATGGGCATATTTGGAGTCCAAACTTCATTAACGATTTCCACCTCTATCTGGACTTTCGGAATTAGAGACCACTCTGCAGGAGGAATGGATTAATATTCCTTTAAATATTGTCCATGACCTTTATGCATCTATCCCCTGTCGCATTCTATCTGTACTTCAGTCAAAGGGTGGTCAACCCCCTATTAATAGATTTTCCATTATTTCACAGGTGTTCCTATTATTTTGTCCTCCATCTGTATATATATGTGCTAATCCCCTTATTTCAAAAAAAAGTTTCAAAAATTATCAGCTAATACACTGAAATATATATATATATATATATATTTTTTTTTTTAACTGGGAAAAAATGCACTGCATGTATTTTATACATAAAAAGATATTTGTGTCTATTTACTCAAGCATAAATCATAACTTTTAAATACAATACATAAAAATAAAGAAATCAAGTAAATCTTAAAATATTAAAGTGGCCATTAAAGACTGACGGCAACATTAAAAATTTGCATGCTACAAATTAAGAAGTTTGCCAACTTTTATGACAAACTGAAAAGGTCAATTTGGTAGGGAAGTATTCATTATAGATGCCAAAAAGTAATTAAAATTGAGAATTAAATAGTTTTAAAGTATCTTAAAGAAAAAATATGAAATTGTAAAGATATCAAAGCTCCTTTTAGATGGTTAGGAATATCTTTAATTTTTCAAAGAACTTCTAAAAAGATTTAAAATTATTTCAAAACCTATAATATCTAAATAAAGTATGATATGATAAAATATATTTTACCTTTTATCATTTGTGGTACTTGAAAATTCCTTTTGAAAAAGAGTGTATTCATTAAATGCACTTGAAAGCTTCTGTATAAATGTTTCATTTTTGTTCATTTGCTCAGGAAGAAACTCCTTTGTTGCAGTTATCTTCTTGTGGTTATCTCTACTGCATGATATATCATCAACTAAAGTTCCTAAATCCTCTTCTGGATGAATATTTTGTCCTTGGAGTAAAAGTTTTGATAAAACAGTACAAAATATTGCAGCAGCATCTTTATCATCTGGATGCCTTTCTTCATCAGAAGAAGTAATAAAACCACCTGGAATGTCATCTATTTGTAAATTACTAGTAGTGTCATCAGATACCAAGTCACAAGAAGCAGGAATTTCTACAGCATTAACAAGTCCTGCTTCTAAAAGCAGCTTTGAGAGAGATTTTTCACCATTCCATATGTCTACCACATAATGGTAACCACCATCATAACATGATGACTTTGTGTATGCCTGAAAAGCAAAATTAATCATTAATGAAACAGTATAATTAACATTTACACCACACACACGCGTATATATACTATATACAGGCACTTGATAATTTACTTTAAAAATATAAAATAGTACTCATTATCATTCCTTTTGCTTAGTAGCTCCTTTAATTCCCTAGACAATGTTGTCCTAGGATAGGTTAATCTTTTTTTTTTTTTAATTGTTAAAAAAGTTCATGTATTATATATTAAAATAAAACCAGTCATGTATTATATGTTAAAATAATACATATATATTTATAAAGTATTTCTGTATGAATGTATCTGTAAAGAAATTTTAACTATGAAAAGTGGACATAGCATGGTGGACAAAGGCATAACATTTTTAATAACTTCCTTTTTTTAAAAAATAGTTTACGATTTTGATTATTAACTGAGATGAAATAATTTTAAAATAATTAAACTATCACCCCTTTCAATGAATAATATATGTTTTCATTAGAGACATATATTGTCAGACATACAAATTATTTACAGGTTATATTGTATTGACATTTTTCACTTGCAGATACAAATATTGAAAGTAGAAAGTAAAAATTAGATTTTGTGGAGATAGAAGTCCCGTGAATTAATATCGATATAAAAACTTTAACTTTTTGTACTAAATGGGAGCACAACTCATCTTTATATTTAAGCATTAAGAAAACAGAGTTGTTCTTATCTGTAGACCAAATATACACAAATAAATAAAAAGCAAATCTCATTTATTTTTGATTTCATCTGTTGCATCACTTCACATTTTTCATTTCAGTAGAGATTAAACAGTTATAAAAATAAGTTTTTCTTACAGAACAAAGTGAATTCTTTCTATAATATTTAAGAAATTATTTTTTACTTCCCTCCGCACACAATCATTTACATTTTAATTAAAATAAAAGAATGAATTTACATAAGCCCTAAAACTGAACACATATAACCTTGTTTGAATTTTTATTATACTTAAACTAAACAAGGGAAATATTGATACTATTTAATTATCCACTTAACCCTGAAAAGAATTCACCAGCCAATGCACTATGTCGCCAAAATAGGCAACCCATAACATTAACAAAATATATTTGTTGCGGCAAAGCCAGCGAACTATTAAAAATAACATTACTCTTTTTGTGAATGGCATCACTTACGTTTCTGTATTCATAAATGTCTTTTGCTTGTTCTATACTTCATGTTTATGTTAGGAAATAAATAAGTATAAAATACTATCTACTAATATCTGGTGCTGAAAAAACTATTTACGAAACAGGACCTTGAACTTATACTTCCTACTGTTGGATTATTCTTGCTGAATTATTTTACTTCCGACATTAAAACTTAGTTTTGTTTTTGTTCTTTTCAACTACTCTGGCAATGGCGCCGACCGGTGAAGCTGTAGACAAAATGACGCAATTGAAACGAAAGCGGAAAGCAGTGCGAAGTAATGTTTCTTGCTTTTCTACTAAAAATGATACTTTGAATGATGATTTATCAATTGAGAAGTTTGATGTAATGACCTTATGGATGAATAAGGCACCATAAGGAAAACGAAACAAACATTTATTAAAAATTAACGTTCAAAGAATAATGGCAAACTTGGAACACTACCTCGCTCCTACAACATAGTTAATCGATCACCTGCCTCCTCTGAGGCTAACATGGAACTGTCGTCTCTCTCACTTGCTGGGCTTTGCCAGGCAGCTGATTGGCTCACCTCAGCCAGATACATGACAGTTGAATATATTTGTAATCGCTTAACAACTGCTTTAAATGATACGAAACTAATAGATAATGAAATTCACAACTTCCTTTCTGACGATGAATATGAAAGTGATAATTTGCAGTGTGAAAACTACATAGATACTGGTAAATCCGCAATTTTCAGAGCACGAAAAATTATTCAAAATAAATTATCACTAACTGCAAATAATGTTACTGCTTCGAATATGGATACCAATGATTTAGAGATGACATTTGGTGACCCTCCTACTACAGTACCTATGACTCACAGTTATTACAGTTAAATTGCCAAAAATTAAACTACAATCATTTACAGGAGAAATTGAACAGTGGCAATGTTTTTGGGAACAGTTTAAATCTTCTACAGATGCCAATCCACATCTTTCTGTTATTGATAAACATGTTTTCCTCAGAGGTTATTTAGATGGTGAAGCTAAACGCCTTGTTGATGGAATTAGTGTAATAGGAGACACCTATGAAACAACAAAAAAATTGTTGGAGGAAAGATATGGAAATAAAGATCGAATTATCCAATCACACTTAGATTACTTAGAACACTTTTAATGTTATTCAAGACTTATCTCCTACCCATCTAAATGAATCTTTACATAGAATGTAACAGAAAGAATTCAAGCTTTTTAACTGCTCTGGGTGAAAATATTGAAGCATACGGTAGAATCCTAGTGCCAAAAAATTATTCGTGCAATTCCCCAATGATATTTGTTGCCGCTGGATTATCTATGCCAAACGTGAAAAAACTAAACGAAGGTAATAATTTTACTAGATTGATGCAGTTCTTGACAGAAGAAGTGGAAGGTGTAGTTGCAGCACAAAGAGTTAAAGGTACGTCTTTTTCTGATCACACCGTAAAGTGCACTGTAGAAAATTTTAATATCAATTCCAAAACAGTAAACAAACGTAAGAAAATTTCACCATTTTGTTCATTTTGTGATACTACAGGACATTGGCCCTCAATATTGTGAAACTGTTACAGACCTATGATACTCGTGTTCAGAAACTTAAAACTTCAAATCGCTTGCTTTCTGTGTACTAACCGTGGTCATAGAGTTTCAAAAACTGCCCAAGAAAAAATACTGCACGATGCACTAAATGCAAGAAAAGGCATCATGTTTCTATTTGTCCTGTCCTGTTGAAAACAATCAACTGTGGATAACTAACAGTGCTGTAAATCACATAACCTTTCCTAAAACAATTTTCACACATTTGCAAACTGCTCGTGTGTATGTTACTGGCCCCACAGCATTACTAAATTAACACGCTGCATTTTAGATGGTGGTAGCCAAGCAAATTTTGTTCACACAGACCTCATTGAAAACCTTAAGCTTAAAGTTGTCAGTTCTGCCTCACTTTCAGTTCAAGCATTTGAATCTTTTACTTCATAAGAACAACATAGATGTGTTCAACTGTCACTTTCAAGTTTGTGGAGCAACCAAGCATTTTTGATCTCCGCATTTGAAAGCTCCAATTCCTATACTACACATCCTACTGCTCCACCAGAAATAATTCACTTTGCTCAGAAGAAAAGATTGAGAATTGCTGATCCTTCGGATGACACTTCACTGTCATAGAAATACTTATTGGTGGTGATCATTATTGGCAAATTGTTTCCGCAGAAGCTCCAATCAAGCTTCCAGAATCTTTTGTTATGGTACCGTCAGTGTTTGAATTTGTTCTTAGTGGAACAAGAACACAAACTAGAATCGCTGAGAAGACTTTTGTCCATCAAGTTTGTGTGCAAGTTAAAACTGATTGTTTAAATGATCAGGTACGTCGCTTCTGGGAATTAGACTCCATAGGGATACAAGATGCGCAGAAACGAAGAATGACTACTCGAGATGGAGAAATTTTATCAGAATTTCACAAAACTTACAGCACTGAAGACAATCAAAGAATTGTGTCTCTGCCTAGAAAACCATTGGTCACACCTTTGCCTACAAACAAAATTATAGCGGAAAAAAGATTTCATTCACTTCAAAAAAGAATTGTATCTAGTGATGTGTCAAAGACACAATATGACAAATGCATGCTGAATTACATTGAACAAAAGCATGTTGAAGTTTGTTTCATAGATGAATCCAATGAGAAGCCAGTATATTACCTTCCTCATCATGCTATATGAAAGAAAACGCAATCTGAAACCAAGTGGTGAATTGTATTTAACACTTCCTCGCATGCTCCAGGAATGATTTCACTGAACGATACCTTGGAAGCTGGCCTGAATCTTCTTCCTGAAGGTCGTCTACTAAGATTTCGATTGCATGAATTCATTGTTACATGTGATGGTAAGCAAGCTTTTTTACAGTTGTCACTATATAAAGAAGATAAAGACATCACAAAATTTTTCTGGTACATATTAAAATCTGATTCATCTCAGCCTACTACTTTTACAGATGAAATAACTGTTTACAGATTTACTCGTTTACCATTTGGCCTTACTTGCAGTCCGTTTTTACTCTGTGCTGCGAAACGAGAATTGGCTACAAAATATATCGCAAGAATATCCAATTGCTGCACCAATGATAGATAAACATCTCTATATGGATGACTTTCTTGCTAGTGTGGAAACTGAATTACGCATTATAATGCTATATCACGAGATCAAGAATTTAATGGCTCTAATGAAATTGCCTATGAAAAAATGGGCTACAAACTCTTTGAAACTCAAAGATGTACTACAAACACATGAAGAATCTCACAAAATGGAAACAACTGTCTTAAGTACTGGCTGGAATACAACTTCTGATACTTTGAAGCATGCATTCATGACTTCCCTCTGTGTTTCTACAGACAAACCACTTACAAAGAGATGGTTACTCCGCTGCATTGCTAGTTTTTATGATTCCTTAGGCCTTTTTTCACTGTTTCTATTCTTGGGAAAATTTTATTCCAAGATACATGGATTCTTGGAATCAAGTGGAATGAATTACTATCTGCTAATTTATCAACTTTACGGTATGCAGCTGTAAAAGAACTTGATGACATTTGCTTCCTTCAAATTCCTCGATGCATAGGCATTTCATCACATGTTCCTTTTACTATTCATGTGTTTTGTGACGCGTCTGAACGTGCCTATGGTTCAGTTCTGTACATTATTACCTTAAAAGGTGACCAATAGAATGTGAATTTAGTGTGTAGTCGCAACAAACTAGCTCCTATAAAGAAAGTTACCTTACCTCGTTTGGAGCTCTTGGCGGCCCTGATGGGAGCACGATTGTTGCAATATTTCTGTGCTGAAACAAACATCTGTTCGTCAAATGCAATATTGTGAAGTGATTCTCAAGTTGTCTTAGGGTGCTAACGCAATGATCCCAACAAATGGAAAACTTTTGTTAGCAACAGAGTAATAGAAATTATTTCCTATACCAATCCTTCACAATGGAGACATTGCCCTGGCAAAGACAATAAAGCTTACAAACTTTCTCGAGGTGTTTCACCATCAACACTAAAAAAACCTGGAAATTTGGTGGAACGGCCCTCCATGGTTAGTCCAAATCTCCAGAATATTGGCCTCATTCTGATACTATTTCTAAAAGATTACAGTCATAACTTCGAGGCAAAGAAAGAAAAAGTTCAGACCCTTCACATCGTATCTACTCAACCAATCATAAAGGCTGGAAACTACAGTTCTTACGTTCGATTGTTACGTGTAACATCTTGGATTCTTCGCTTTATTCACAACTGTAGGAAACAAGAAAAGTTAGTAAAGTTAGTGGATGAATTACATGCCACAGAATTGAATCAAGCTCGTATTTATTGGATACAGACCGTTCAGAAAGAATCTTTTCCTTCAGAATATGAAGCTCTGTTGACAGGAAAATCACTCTAAGCTAAGAAATCAAGGATAAAACAATTTAACCCTTTTTTTCAAGAACAATATTATACTTCTTGGTGGTTGACTACAGTTTTCTAATTTATCTCATGCTGAAAAACATCCCATATTATTGGACAGTTCTCTTCATTTTACAAGCCTACTGATACGCCAAACACATTTACAATTGCATCATCTCGGTGTTCAGATTGTACTTTCTCAACTTTGTTCAGAATATTCAATATTAAGAGCAAGACAAGCCATTAAAAAGGTAATAAAGACTTGCCTTCCATGTAAAGTACTAAAACAAAAGAGAAGTGAAGAGATAGAAGCTCCATTACTGGATGAGCCAATTCAAGTCATCTCCTTTCGAAACTACCGGAATTGATTTTGCTGGACCACTCTACATAAAAAATAATAGCTCCGTTACAAAAGCTTACATTGTCATCTTCACATGTGCTACAACTCAAGCTATCCACTTAGAATTAGTTTCCGATCTGCGCACTGACGTCTTCCTACTTGCATTACAATGTTTTGTCTCTAGACGTTCACTTCCTCATACAGTGTGTTACACTGATTATGCCACAACTTTCTGCACTGCGGACAAAGAGCTGAAGTTATTGTGGGATACTATATCCTCTGCCAAGGCACAACAGTTTTATGCCCACCACAACATCAAATGGAAATTCATCGCCCACCGAGCGGCTTGGTGGGGAAGATGGTGGGAAAGAATGATAGGCTCAATTAAACGATGCCTTCGGAAAACATTAGGTAAGGCTCTTTTGGATGACACTGGTTGATCACTGTATTATGTGATATTGAAGCCGCTCTTAACAGTAGACCGATTGTCCACGAATACGGAGTAAAAGATGACTCTGAGGAAGCTTTAACACTCTCACACTTCCTCATAGGAAAGAAATTAACTACTATTCCTTCCAGCCACACAAATCTTGAAACAAATTTAAATCGTATGTGGAAAAATCGTCAACATTTGATGGACTCCTTTTGGAAAAGATGGCAAAAGGAATATTTGATGGACTTGCGTACATTTCATCAAGTGCGGAATCCATCTGAAACAAATAAAGTAAGGAAAGGGGACATTGTCCAACTACAAGATGTTAGACCTCGCCACACCTGGAAAAAGGCCCATGTTGAGGAGCTAATCCTTGGCTGCGACAAAAAAGTCCGTACTTGTGTTCTGCCCAACAATGGACATAGCATTACCCGACCTGTGCCGCTGGTCATTCCCCTGGAGGTTGACCAGGGTGGGGAGAATGTTGCGGCAAAGCCAGCGAACTATTAAAAATAACATTACCCTTTTTGTGAATGGCATCACTTACATTTTTGTATTCATAAATGTCTTTTGTTTGTTCTATACTTCATGTTTATGTTAGGAAATAAATAAGTATAAAATACTATCTCCTAATAATATTAGCTTTACATGCACACATACCAGTGCAAATATATTTGCACAGGTATGAGTGCACGTACAGCAGACAAAAGGCATTTCTTACCTCCAAATTCGATGTTTTTTCGTGTGTGAGTTTGGGGAAGGAGAGAGCAATTAATGAATTTTCTTTTCCTTGTAAGGAATCATAATGGGACTATGAAGTTTGCTGGCTGATGAAATAGAAGCATCGAATTCCTACAGAAATATGGCATTTTTCACAAGAGATACAGAATGCAAGAATTTACATTTTGTGATGTTGTACTTCATAAATGATCAAATTTTGTGGATAAAAATTTGTACAATTCTCTGATTTTTTTTTAAAAGAGAAAACAGATCACTGCACAATGGGAAGAACAAAAGCATGAGCAATGCCAAATTTATGCAATTCTCTGATATTTTTAAAGCAAAAATAAATTGCTGGTGTACACAGGGAATACAACAGTACGTGCAATGACAAGTTGTATGCGATTACAAGTTTCTACAATTACTGGATATTTTTTGAAGCTCGTACAGATCACTGTATGCATAGGAGGAACAATTAAAAATAAATGCTTTATTATGGATGCTTTTTGCATTTTTAACTTTGTTAGTTGGTGCCTGTTTTATGTAATTCTTAATGTGCCACCATTTTTGAAAATAAGCGTTGTTTTTTAAGTCTTAGCTTGGCAAAATATTAGTTGCGAAATGGTTAGTGACTTTTTTACGTTTAAACTAATAAATAGAAAGTATAAAATTATTTATTACTAGCATTAAAAATGGAGGAAATCCTTTTTTCCATTCAATTAAAATTAAACCAAAATATATTTTTATTGACATAAAATAATATTATTTCACGTAGATCTCTATACAATTTGTAACTACTTTTCCCTATTCAAATTTATACATTAAAGAATTTGCCTACCGTTGCAAATCAGTTTACATGTTGTACATATTAATTTATATTAAAAGATTTTAATAAGTATACATTATAGTTTTTAAATTTGATATTATTTAAATCAACAAAAAATTAAAAACCTATAAGCAAACTACAAAGAAATGTAAATTTACTTGGTGTAGAAAGATGAAAAGCAATTTCAGTAACTTGAATTCTGGTTTTCTGAAGTGCAAAGAAATAAAGTTCTATCCCACTCCAGTTTTTCCATTAAAATAAAAAAATTAAAATGTCCATAATATAAATGAATGACAAATTTTTCCTTCACAAAAGCCCTAATTTTTAGAAATATTCTATACAGAATTATTCCTAAACTCACTCTATTAAATTTTATATGAATGCTTAAAATAAATTTCTTTCCTTGCCAGTACTTTACCAGAAATATCTACTTCATATACACATCCTGACCTAAAAATTCCCCCCCCCTTGCAATTGACATTCAGCGGGGTTTGTACTGATCAAATTATACCAGCTCTTTCTGATGTTGGCTGCTAGCACATCTATCAGCAACTAGCATCATAATTCAAGGCATAAATATTAAAACTGTAAATATTTTTAAATTTTATTTTTCTTTAAACATATTGACAAGCTTGTATTAATTTATGAGGAATTTAAAAATATAGAATTGTTTACTACTAGTTCTTATATTTATATGAAAGTAATTTCATAAGCATAACAGTATAATGACCTGCAATTGTAGTATCTTCATATCTCCAACTTCATCTCTTGTAAGATCATATAGAGTGTCAATTGTTTGATTTGACCATCCACCATGTGAAGCACATATTCCACCAAGTTCACATTCTATAGCTTGAAATGGTAAAAGCAAATACTCTGCAGGCAGAACATAAATGTTGTCTTTTGTAGTGCATCCGGTGTCACCGAAATCAACAAAAAACAAGTGAACATCATCTGAATCCAAAACCAGATCTGTTATTAAAGCTCGATAAAACCTGTTACATAAGAGAATCAGGAATACTAATTAATATAAAGAGAGTAATAAGAGTACACAAACAATATGAAAAACACTTCATAGCAACAAAAACGTAAAATATGGTTCATGGAAATTATTTTTTTACTTCCACTACTCTTTAATAAGGGAAGCAACATAACTATGAAACATCAATTATAAGACAATAATGAAAGCAATTTATGAAGGGCTACAATCGTGTAGCTGTTAGAATGAATATTCTATTCTGAAATATTTTTACATCTTGAAAAGCCAACAAAATCCCCATAACTTATACCCTTTTAAGGGGGGGGAACTGAGAGATTGTCTGGAACAAAAAACATGCACAATACTCTGCATTGTGGAATTTGTTATTAGTTTGCACTGTTCATAGAATGCATTTTAAATATGAAAATTTTTAGGCTATTATTTGGCTATTTGCTAAACTTGCCAACGCTTTTTTTGGCAGTGGGGGAATGGCTCCTTGACAGACCTATGTCAGATCAGCATCCAAACCAATAGTTTTATTTTTAAAAACTGCAGCAATCTGCATTTGAAGGGGGTTGAGTAATTTTAAATTTCACTTTGGGAAAATATTCATACTGCATAATAATAATTTTATTGTCCTACATAAAAGTTCCAAATTCAATAATATATTATGCTAAGACTATTATTTAAGCGAATACAATTATTTTGTACCTTTTATCATGAAGTACACTTTACTTTATATGTCCTCCTCAATTTCTAAAATTTTAAAGTTTCAGCTTTATGCCTTTATGATGTTTCATGATCTTCACATATGTATAAATGGTAAAGAAGTGTTGCATGAATTTGTTCTAAACTGATGTAAAAAGCATGCAAATACAAAAGAACTGCCATAATATCAAAGATAGTATCAGTCAGTGGTGGATTTCCATACAGGCACATTAAGATTACACTTTGGTTCTCTTTAAAAAAACCACAAATTAAAAAAAAAAAAAAATCCCTAATAAAAATTACTAACAATTTAAAAGTATTCACTAAATTAAATTAACAAATGTAGACAGTAATTTATCATACGCACTGTTTGCAATAATTGCTTTTAAAGAATACAAATTTTTATTAATTACACTACAATTAATTTTTAAATGAGTTTTTCAATCAACAAGCTTTTTGCTCCTTAAATCAGGTAATAAATCAAAATAATGAAAAAAATTAGATCCAATAACATTTGTTGACACTTTACATACGTAAAAAGTAAAATTAAAAACAAAGTCTGAGGTCAATACTTTGTCTGTAAGCCTAAGTTTTTTGTCTGTAAGCCTAAACAGGAGTAACGTTGCTGCAGAAAACATCATAATATATGTCTGGCATGCTTCATCTTTAGTTGCAGAGAGGAGACTGACATCTGAGCCAGTGTCGCACAGAAATATTTTATTTGATTTTCTGTCTCTAATAAAAAGGCGACGAGACTCGGATAGTAAAGCGCAAGTCGCCAATATACTTTCCCTGGTTCGTTTCCCTGGAAACACATTTTTGGCTTTCCCCTTAAATTTCTGATGGTACCAGCAATAGGAACAATTGGAAGCAGATTTAGCTGAAGGCCTTCGCTTTCTGTTACAACCGTTTTTGGAAACACTGTGTTATTGTCTTAGATACAAAACCTCACCACGCAATTTGCAGACCTCATCCAGTAGGGAATCAAATTTAGAATTATTAGATACACTGACAGATACAGTTGAAGAAACTGTGTTTACCTGAGCAGGTGTAACTTACAATATTCTATCAGCAATGCTGGCAGCTTTCGACGAATCGAGTGGTTCAACCGATGCTAGAATAGATTGAACATTTGGCGGCATTTGCTGAATTAATAACTCTAGTAACAATAAGTCACGTATATCGTGTTTTTCAGCCCACCTTGCCATGACACAAAGCAATTCGAATGGTTTTTCTGTCTTTAAATTGCTCATCGGCGAGTAATTTCTGGATTTCATAGGTACTGCTTTCCCATCGTTCAGTAATGGCAGCTTTGAGGTCTTCGTAAGAAGAATCTGTGCATTCCCAAAGCATGATATTTTTAACAAAAGAGGCAATCTCAGGTGGTAAATGAGTGACACAATAGCTGAATTACATCTTAGGATCCGTAACAGGCTTGGGTGTGGCTAAAGCAAAAGTCAATTCGCACATAGCAAACCACAATGCCAAGTCAATAGGATTGTAAATTGGTATCTTCACGGCTGCTGTTTCCTCCACGGCAGTGGCTGTAGGGAAGAACACGGAAGTCCTGGAATCAAGCTTCTGAAGTTTTATGTGTGTAAGACGGGTCGCCAATTTATGGTGAGTAGGTTATGGCTCGGTGAATATTCTTCGGAGACATGGCCCCATATTGCTAAAACACAACTATTCATAAAAACAGAAAACTTCTACACAAACATTTGAACATCCTTGCATTCAAGCTAAGGGCAATGTGTGCGAGTTCGCTGATCATTTGGCAGTTATTGCGAAAATAACATGACGTCATATGGTGGCGTGCGCAGTCGAACACAAGACTGCCATAAGTGAATGAATAGTTGTGTTTTAGCAATATGGAATCATGCCTTTGAAGAATATTCGCCAAGCCATAACCCACTCACCATACACTTAAAAAAAAACCTTTTACACAGTCATTTGAACATCCTTGCATTCGAGCTTTGATCTGTTCATTCAGTTTTTGTCTATTTAGACCGATCGTAGTTGTTAAAATTTTATGGTGCATAGCACCTACCTGAAAGTGAATAAAAAAAATTTATGCCAATGCATTTAATCAGGCTGGAGTGTAAAGTTGGAAAGTTGTGAAAAGCATGAAATCAGGATAGAATTGGGAATCCTCTTGCATCATCCGGGGAAGTCTTCACTTGGGAAAAAACACTAAGCCTATTCTTCACTCTCTTCAAACTTCATCATCATCACTGTGGCTTGGAAAACGGCTTTAAATTTTTCAGCTGTTGATTTAGTTTACCATATCTTTTTTCGATGTGCTAAATTATGGAACTCGAGAACGCATCGATTTTTCTCATTGTTTAGCCAAGAAATAGCATCTGTAAGTTCCTTAGGTCAGGTGCTTGAATTTTCTTTTTACTTTCTCGCTATAAAGCGGTCACTGGTTCTGCTGCATTTTTGTTGAAGGGAAGTTTTTGTCATTCTTTCCAGGAACTGCAGGTCTTGGGGTTGGCTATTTCGTCTCAAATAGTTTTTTTATAAGCACGGCATCCACGGTAGCTACAGACATGATCTTCATTGCAGAAAATGCATTTTGGCTTCCCGTATCCTTTAAAGGGACATTAGTTTCTTTGGTGAGACTCTTTGCACTTGCAGCATTGCACTGGATTGTTACATAGGTGTCGCATATGGCCAAACTCTTGGCATCAGAAACACTGTGTTGGGTGTTTCTTTGGTGTGTAGCTTTCAATCATCACATTAAAGCTAAGCATATTATTCAGCTTATGAATTGAGTTAGCAGCTGCAGCTGTTTTCCTTAGTTCCAGAAAAAAGATCAGTAATTTTTCAAACTTATTTCTTTGTGTACAGGTGAACTGCTTAACCTTAATCATGATAAATTTTCTGTGCTGTAGATCCTGGAGTATGGCTTCTCCTTTTACTGACGATGGGATGTTCTTCATGATTACAAAGATAAGTTTTTCACTTTGAAATTGATATGAGTGAAACAGCACATTTCATTCCTTAGTCATAGCACAAAAGTCCAATGAGTTTTTTGTATAAATGAAAATTGATTTAGCCTTCATTTGAGATTCGTATTCATCAGTGCAGTATTCACAAAAATGTTCATTTTTTTTTTTCCATCCAATCTGTAGTGTCGTGAGGAAACATGATGGGTGGAGGTATTTTTTCTGGTCTCGTTTCTCCCTCTACTTTCTGGGCTGGCTCGGCATCAAGTGTCTAAAAATGTTATTTCCATCGGAGTCGTAACTTCAGGTTTTTTTTGTCTTTTTAGGAGAAATCCATCCTTGTTCCATTTCCTTAGCAGATTGTACGGGTTTTCCATCAGTGAGCGGTTTCTTGACTTCTTTAACACCATCGATGTATCCGCAAGTTTCAGGGTGCTGACTGCTTCATCAATTCTTATATCTTTAATAATATTTTTGATGAAATTAAGTCTACCTGCATCTGTTTCCCAGTTCATCAGTTGTTCTATCTGCTCCGTTGAATTCGTATTCTGTGTCTTTTTGCCTTTTTCCGTCTTGAGGCTTTTCAAGAATTCATCTCTTCTTGAAATAACTGGCTGAGATACAGTCAACCTTTCAGAGTTTGCATAATCGCTGTCGCGAACGACGCTTGAACTAAATCGTGCTTGAACTAAAATGATAACAATAAAACTCACAATCGCTGTACATTGAAATCATGAGTCCAGAAAAAGGACATTTTGTACGCTACCCGAAGGTAACACTAACAGCAGTTTGAATAATCAAAACTAGAATAAGAGCGTCACCACTACATAAGACACGTTTAACAGCTACTGCACGAATGAATGTGCAAGTTCGTTGGTCGCGCCGGCAGTTATTACAAAAATAACATGACGTCATCTGGCGGTGCATGCAGTCGAACACAAGACTGCCACAAAATCAATAAATTTCTTTCATTAATTATTAAAATTATGCACATTCTTAAGTTGTCAAGCATGACTGCTTGTAAATTATTGCTTACTTCATATTAATTATTAATATTACATTTTTAGGCCTATCTATTGTATGAAAAAAGACTTTAAAGCTCTATTTTTCATCTGATATAGATATTGTTATATAGTGTGTCAGCTTAAGTTGGAAACATATGAAAAATTTTTTATTATTGATGCAACTAAGAATTATACTCTTCATATTTTTATTTGCCTTTAAACTTAAAAAAAATTCTTAGATATAAATTTTACATTACACAGGGTGGCTTTAGTGATCAAATTTCTATTTGTAGTTTCAATTAAAGTACCCTTAATTATAAAAATGCACAGAAATGTTATAAATTGTTAGACAAAAA